TGCTCTGCGACACTCATGAGGGTTTGTGCGGCGGACACATGGGGGGCAGGGCTCTCGCCCAGAAGGCGCTACGACAGTGATATTATTGGCCAATGATGAAGGCAGATGCGATTGAGTTCGTGAGAAGGTGTGACAAGTGTCAGAAGCATGCCAACATCCACCACCAGCCCGCCGCCGACCTAAGTACCTTACCAACCCATGGCCCTTTGCACAGTGAGGGATCGATATACTCGGATTGTTTCCACCAGCGACAGGACAGAGGAGGTTCTTAGTGGTAGTAGTTGATTATTTCACTAAGTGGGTGGAGGCCGAACCTCTCACAACGATCACGGCGCGAAGTGTGCAGAATTTCTTCTGGAAGAATATTGTTTACCGTTTCGGACTACCCCGAGTGCTCATCCAAGAGACTATCAAAACTATGTTGCGACATAACTACGAACTGAACTAAACTGAAAAAGAAAAGCTAGGGGAGACTCACCAAGAAGAAAGACCGAACTGAAAGACCGACAAACTAGAAAACCCGAGCTGAGAACTTTTAACTGCGACCTCAAGGCGAATGCTAGTGAACTTATGGCGGAGAAAATGACTCAGGTCCCCTCATATTTATAGCCGCAAGGTTAGGGGATCAACGGTCGAGATCAAGAAGATCTAATGGTTCCTGAGAAAACCGGTTGCATGACCCTCGAGGTCAAAATTAGTTTAGCGTGACGTCTGCGCGTAACCACACGCGACCTGGGTTATACTTGGTTGAGCCGAGCAACTGAACTGGTCCGACTGGCGAACTGTCTGACTGGACGGCCTGAACCTCGAGCAAGTTAGGACCCCTGGCTCGGGGAGTGGGGGGCAATTGATGGAGGGTGATTTGGCCCCGACCTCATAACGAGGGGACACGTGGACGTGACTCGATATAAGTGACAACTCAACATAACGAGCTTGCTCCAACTCAGCGTAACGAGCTCTCTATAACCCAGCCTGACAGCTCGCCGCAAATGGCAGCTCTCTACAAGATAATACACCATTGCCCTGAGCTAAGACTCTCCCAAGTAGAGAGCACCCCGAGCTAAGACTCTCCCAAGTATGGAGCACCCCGAACTGAAGACACTTCGAGTTAAGCTCGTCAGCTCCCTAACTAGAATAAGCTCACTCCTGTCCAAACCTAAGAAGGCTACCTCGGAGACCTGCCTCGGGTAGAAGCACCTCGGCGAATCACCAGCAGCTCGGTGTAAGGTAGCTCACTGCAGAGTAGTTCGGCGTATCGCAGGGGGTTTTCTGCCTGACAACCGTACCTGCCAAACCTGGAGACTACACCCACGTTTCTCGCCTGGCAGCGTCGTGTCTACCAACCCTAGAGGTTGTTCCTCGTCTGACAGGACCGTACCCTGCAGCGATCACCTTTGCCCGCCAGTTCTGTTCTGACAAATAACGGCCAGCCACTCCAAGCCGTTATTTGACAGCAGATCGCCACAACAGAGATTCGGAGGCGGTTGCACCTGACATGTCAGGGTACCAGTATATAAAGACCCCGACCCCCAGAGGCGAAGGTATTGCATGATCATCACTCTAGCTCTTTAATTTCTCTGCAACTCTCTCTTTCTCTCCCAGCTTTCAATCTGGTTACTAACTTAACCATCGGAGTGTTCCCGCTGGGTGAGTCCCCTAGGTTCCTTCATCTTCTTCCTCACAAGTATCTCTCGTCCATCGCTAGATAGGAGCGCAACCACTTCCAGTTAGGAGTGACCAAATCGCGTACCATCACTTCTGAACGACAAAAGTTTGGTGAGAAGGAGGTGAAGAATAAGTTGCAGTCAAGTTGAAGACACCTTCTGAATTGCCTTCTGTTGTTCTCCTCAGCTTGCCCCAAACCACTATTGCAAAGGATTTTAAATCCACATAATTTGTAGGAACCCTATTGTGGGTACTAAATCCAAGTTCTAGCTCCCAATGCATGTCTGCAAAGCTGCAACCCTTGGTTCTTTTAGCGGTGGAAAAGATTACAAATGAATCCTCTACAAGGCTGCAAACCTCCAAAAATTAAACGCGTCTTCTACTTCAAGTCACCGTCCGGTGTCTTCCACCAAAAAAAAAGGAAGAATCCCCAACTCCAGCCTCCCCATGAAACAGATCAGATGAACATCTATAACCGTCCCATAAATGTTTTTCAAGTTCTTTGTTTTTTATTCAAGGTGATAGGCCGTGACATAAAGATTGTTACAGAGTTTCCTACCATCTCAACCCGAAGCGGGACAGAACCTTGTATATCGACCAAAAGGGGTTTTGGATTCATACATTGAATCCAGACTGAGCTTTTGGATGGTGGTCCCTGTAGGAAGTTGGGCTCCATTCACCAAAGGAACCCCAAAACCACCATTTATGATGTTGTTACCATTGTTCTGAATGACAGTTGATGAGCTGCTTGTTGTTATTGTTGATAATTGCACTGATGTTGCTGTTGAGGGGAATGTCATTGTTGACGGGGAGTACCACACCATTTGGCCTGTAAAGGGAACCTGACCGGTAGAGGGTTCAACCCACTAAGTATGTCATGCATGAAGAAGGATAATGGGTGCTGGGGGTTCGCATTCACCATGGTGGCACTAGTAGTAGATGTAGAAAGAGTAGCATCTGGTTGCTTGATGGCGGGTGGGCCCATAGGTGCTACATCAGCGACAGAAGTGGACACAGGTGCTCTATCTGGGACTGCCGTTTCAACTGGATTGGATGCCTCCGGTGCTATTGCTAGAGGGGGACAATTGTTCGTTGAGGATTCGAGCTGAGGTGGCACATATATGTGATAGTGAGGACTAGTAACATGAGGGAGATGTCTCAAATACGGTTTTGGGTTTTGGAGGTTGCATTTGGAAAATTGGAAATTAGGGGTTTTTCATCAATTGGGTTTTATTTTGAAAAATTGATAAATAGTGAAGGGCAAATTCGATATTTCATTTTTTTCCGTTAGTGTTTATTAACGTGTCAATTGTCAGAAAAGTTAAGGATACTTTAAGACAATAAGTAAATAGTGAGGATAGAGTTAGTCAATTACAAACAATAGGGGTAGTTTAAGAGATTTCCCTATTATAAATAGCATAAACAATACTAAATATTTAATATAATATATATATACACATATTTAATCCAATCCTCACCCTGTCCCGCTAACATAGTTTCCATCCCCATTTCTGCTTGGTCGAGGAGGTTGGGTACTCAGGGAGGATAGGGAAAAATGCCATCCCTACCCCCGTGTTGTATAACTCCATAGAACAATAAATTTTAGGGATTTTTAGAATGCATTCCACCTCAGAATTTTGATATGAGCAACAAACCTACAACAATTCAAATTTATAAACAGCTCCACCTATAACACCCATACCCGCCTGTAAATTGGCATCAATTACAAGCTGGTACCTACCCCCAACTATACCGTAGAACTAGAATTTCAGAGGTGGACTGAACAATAAAAACCCATAAATTTTAAGACCAATAAACCCTAATATCTTTTTCCTATAGACAATAATTTTATAGAAACTGAAATAATCATACCACATAAATAAATATAAAAAATCAACTCTATCTTTCTTTTATCTATTGGTTGTTTGCAAAATTGAGATGAAATAAAATAAAATGTATATATCTATGTCTATATATAAACATTTCACTTTTATAGTTTAAA